AAATTAAAGTTTTTATTTTTTTTGAGAATTACAGTACTTTAACCTCATAGTTTTAAAAATTAAATAATTATATTCATTTTACTTACTGTATGAATATAAAACAAAAAAAACCACACTTCTTAATAATTTAACGTAATAACATTATTGTTTTTTAAAAAAACAATATTAATTTATTATAATGAAAAACTAAAAACCGTAATCCAAAAAATTCTAAATTGATTTTTTTTAAACAAAAACTAACTTATTTATAAATATCATTTCTTAAAAAAAAAGTTTTCATTAAAAAAATTTCAATTCTTTAAATAGATTACTGTATTATTATCCATTGATTGTTTTTTCTTAACCATAACAAATGATGCTGATCAAAGATTTAAAAATAGTTTTTATTCTAAAATTGTCTACTAGATTTAATTATACGAGAACTTAAAATAAATGATTGTTTTAAATCTCAAACCACTAGAGTTATAATAATTTAAAATAAATCCCTTTTTGTTAATTTTTTGATATAAATTTAAAAATTCATTTTAAAGATTTTAAAGATGAAATATTTTATAAAATCTAATATATAAACCCTATTTTTATTAAAATAACCATTTTAAAATTTTATAAAAATACTAGAAATATATTGTTTTAAATAGAGTATAAAAACAAAATTAACCTATAATAATGAATTTAAAGAAATCAAAAATTTCATTCATTAAATATATTAAAACATTTTAATAAAGTTAAAATAAAAATCGAAGTTATATCTATTTAAATAGTTTTAAATAAAAAACAAAATTTTTTTCTCAAAAATAAAAAGAAATTCTTTTTATTTTATAAATTTATAAAACAATTGACAGTTTAGCTTTACTAAAGACCATCGTCTAAATTGTATTTATTAAAATATTATCTGAATAAATAAATCATTAAATTATATTTTAATCCTTTATTATTTTTCCATTATAGATTTTCGAAAAATAATTCAAGTATTAAAATATGATATGTTTCTGTTTTAGAGTATATACCTATACTTTTTTCATGTATTTTTAATTTTCAAAAATATAACCTTATTGTGATTGACATTTTTTTTTATAAACAGTTCTATCTATATATAAAATTAAAATTATCATTTCAATATGTTTAATTAAACATCATTTATTGTAGTATATAATAATACCAAATTAAAAACGCTTTTTTATTAATAAAATTCAGTAAAGGTCTTTTTGAGACAATATACAATAAAATTTAACCCAAGGAGAATATTACATTTACAAATCAAACATCCATACATTTCTTTTGAATGACTATCACGATGATATTATGCTTGTGCTAAAATAATTTTTTTTATTTATACAACTACACTATCACCTTAAAGGCGAAGTAGATTTTCAATAAATTGCTCAAAATATTTCCTTTAAAAGAAGATCAGTTGTTCTCATAATAATCATTCTTCCATCTTAATTTCTTATTATATCTATACTTGATTCTATTTATAACATATTTTAAGTATGCTATACAGTGATTAATGAAAGCTTGACAATACTGATTAGGAATTACTACAAATAGAATTACAGTAATTAATACGCTTATTATTACAATATTTAAATACCATACTAATCTGTTTAAAATTTTTTAAATTTTTACAACATCTATATAATATAGATACAACAAATCTTTTTATTATATTTTTGATATAAAGAAATTCCATTAAAGTTTTATGGAACCACTTATAAATGGTGTTTAAACTCTTTTATTTCAATGATTCTTAGCATAAATATTTTAATGTGTTTTTTATATTGAAGTAACCTTAAGACATAGATTCCTTGATAAAAGCTTTCTTTAAAAATTGAAAATTTTTGTTTTATGTGTTTTTTTACTATTTTGTTTTTTATTAAAAATTAAAATAATATTTGGATTCCGTTTCAAATGTAATAAAATACATACTATTCTTTGTTTTTTTCAATTTTTCCAGAAAAAAAGAGTTATTCTAAAAAGATTGTATTATTTCTATGTTTGGATTAATTAGAAGACATTTTATTATAAATTTTAATTTTACAACATATATTAAATTATTTTGTAAAAGCGTGTTATTAAAATTATCAATATAACATGTTTTTATAAATAAATTTTCTAAAAAAATGTGATAATAAAATATCAATATAATAAATAATAAGATCAAATAAAAGTTTCTTGGTTTTAATACTAAAAGATGTTAATATCACTAAACATATCTAATAAATAAAAATATATTTGAAGCTAATTTTAGATTTAATAAAAATAATTAATAAATTATTTTTACTGTATATAAAGTTTTTTTTTAATAACTATGACTATGTTGAGTCTTAAATATTTATTAATATATAAGATACAAAGTAATTAGAAAGCTTTTATTATAATGTAAAATGATATATATTAATCATCATCACAACATATTCTTTAAATTTTGTTTATTTTAAGACAATTATGTAATTATTATTAAAAAAATATTTTGAGTATTTAGACAACCAGAATTGTTAATCATTACTGTATATTATAAAGTTGATTTTTATTTAATATATATAATTAATGATATTTTTTAGTTAAGAAATATTAAATGTTTTTTGTTGATGAAAAAACATTAGTATTGTCAGTTATTAATATATAAAATAATCTTTAAGATTTATATATTTTAGAATACTGTTTAAAAAACCAAATTATAAAATTTTTAATTAATATAATAAAACTTACAACCATTTAAACAACTCTTGTAACGAATTAAAAAAATTATATGTATTCTTTTGTAATCAATATATTAGTCTTTTCGATCAATATTATAATTCTTAAACAACTTAAATAAAATGAAATTTTCATATATTTCTTTGAATTCAATTGAATAACTATTGTCATCAATTGAATTGTTCAATTGTAATTATTATAACTTTTCATTCAACATCATATTTCTTAAAATTAATTAAATATAACAGCTGATAAAATATGCTTTTTGCAACCAATATAATGAACAATATAATCATTTAAATAACTATTGTAATCAATCACATAACTATTACAATCAATCACATAAACATTGTAATCAATCACATAATTACATTTTTTAAGATTTATAAAGATACAAAGACATTAAAAAGACTAAATTTATTCTAAAATGATCTCTTTCACAGCAGTTTCAATTAAATATTTTAACATTTTTCTATGAAACGACCCGCAATGATTAGAAATTGTTTGATCAAAAGATTTTACAATTAGACATCTTATTTAAGATTCGTTCAAAATACCCTTCACAAGCAATTTTTTTCAAACAGAAAAAACATATTCTATTGGTTTTATAGAAAGAAAATAAAGGAGTAAATGTTTAAAAGTGTACTGAGAAAGTTCATTGTCTCACATGATTTTTTTAATGATAGATTCTGACATTATATATTATAAAAACAAGAGATTTGATTCATTTTTCAATATAAAAAACCTTTAATTTTCGTAAAAAAAAATTTAAATCTTCTCTATTTACTACTCTTTCATGAATTTTATGGAAGATCGTTCCATGTTTTTTATTATTACAACCACATAAATATCTGCTTTTGAAAGCAGGAACAACGAGTTATGCAGATTGGCCTATTAGAAATCTGATTCTACTTGGGCGTTTCACTATCAAAAATCTTACTTCATCGTGAAAACAAAATTCTTATTTTCATTTGCCTCCAAAGTACGATAAGTTCATTTATAATCAGCCTTTGTTTCAATAATACTTTAACCATTTCTACATTCAAGGATTAATGTTATACGCTTATATGTGCAGTGAAATTGATAAAGATACCGATTGATTGTATTTATTGACATTGTAATGTCAAAAGTTTTGAAAACACTTATTATAAAATATTTAATATAAGAAAAGACCCATTTTTTACCTAGGCAAGAATTACCTTTTATTTCTAAACTTAATTTAGAATATATTTCACCACCACAAGATTGTGGTAATATCTTACAAGTAGTATTATAGTGTTTTATAGTATTATTTACAGTCTGTTAAAGTATTAATTATATACCTGCTATAGCGTAATCCGATTGATCTTCATGTGATTTAGATACTATCCTTTGTTTATCATCATTAAATACAACTTTACGTTGTCTCCTCAGACTCGGCAACTGCCCTTTTACTATAGGTCTTGCCACTGCTTCTTCTACTGCTAATGCATCTGTTACTATCTTTTCTTTGCCACTGCATTTATTAAATTTTTATTAGAATTACTTTTACTCATAATAAATAAAAAATTTGATTAAAATATTTCATATTTAATTTATTATAAATCATAGATAAAATTTGATTAAGTAATTAATTATAATTTTATATAAATGATTGCAAAAACCGTAGTTTAAAAGCTGTTATAAGCAATTGATTATAATAATTATTTAAATGATTAAAAGAAACATTATATTGGCTGCAAAAAAGTATATAAAAGTTTAAATTTATTCAATTAAATACAAATTTTATTATAACGATCGAAAAATTTTATATAATAATATATGAACTTGGTTTTATAAAAGTTTTATATAATTCTATTTTTGAGTTTAAAATTGAGATAAAATTAAAAAAACAATGATATTTTGATAAAATTTAAACATAGTAAAAGATTTATAGATATGCTTTTAAGCACAAAAAATAACCTTAAAGCAGTTAATAAAGTCAGAGAGGAACTAACAGAGTAATTTTAGCATAAACATGTTGAAAAAGATACAGTGGTGGAAAATAAAAATGAGACTAACTTTAAGTTTTCTTTTAAAAGTTATTCTTATTAAATTTCATTTTAAA